AGTTGTATAAAGAACATTCAAATGTCTCTGGCTCAGTTTTCACAAGTAATAAGCTTCTTTTGCTGGAGTAGCATACATAAAGCAGTCAAGGGCCAGGTGGTGGTGGCACTCACCTATAATCCCAGAGCTTGAGAGGCAGAGGCAGGTAGATTTCTGTGAGTCCCAAAACAGCCAGGGGTACACAGAGAAACCTTGTGTTGAAAAACCAAAACAAAACAAAAAAACCCAAAACAAACAAAATACCAGAACCAAAACAAAACAAAACAAAAACCCAAAAAGTAAAAAAAAAAAAAAAAAGCACTCAGGTAGTCCATAGAATATAATGAATGTTTTACTGGTGTTAACTAATCTGATTAAATCACCTAGCTTTATAAATGGTGTTTTAATGTAAGAGTTGTCTCCTAATTACAAGCAAGGTAGAGTCTATGTTCCAGTTTTCCCATTTTTAATTTGTTTATCTTCATTAATTTGTTTTCTAAAACTGGGTTTCACTATGTAGCCTAGTCACAAACTCATGGGAATCAACCAGAGGTGTGAGCCTCCCAAGCTAGAATACTAAGCATGAGCCACTACATGTAAACTTTTCCTTATGGTTTTGGGTGTGGCTTTTGTATTTCACTATTGTGTTACAATTCGTATTGTGAGGGATAGGGATTAATATACAGCTTTGAGCACACCAAGCAATTGTTCTAATACTGAGCCATAACTGAAACTTAAATTTTAGGTAAAACAATGGTCTGGATACGATGGGAAGAGAAAATAAATTTTTTTCTGTTTCTCAAGACAGGGTTTCTCTGTGTAGTCCTGGCTGCTGTGGAACTCACTCTGTAGACCAGGCTGGCTGGCCTCAAATTCAGAGATTTGCATGCCTCTGCCTCCATGATTGCTGGAATTAAAGATATGCACTTTAACTGCCTGGCTAAAAAGGAACTTTTTTTCTTTGTTTTCTTCTCTTCTCCTTCTCCTCTTTTTTCTTCCTCTTCCTTCTCTTCCTCTTCCTGGCCTTAAACTCAAGGGGATCTGCCTGCCTTTGCCTCTCTGAGTTCTGGGATTATAGGGGTGTGCAATCATGCCCGGCTTGTTCTGAGAGTTTTTATATTTGTTGTTGTTTGTTTGTTTTTGTTTTGTTTGTTTGATTTGGTTTGGTTTTTGAAACACGGACTGTACGTAACTAATGTTGTCCAGACTGGCCTCAAACTCGACAACCCATTAGCTTCCCAGTGAATGCTGGGATTGCCTCCAACATGAAGGAGGGCGACCAGCTTCATTTTGATTGGCTATGACATCATTCAAGTCCTTTGTCGTGCAACAGAGTGTCCTGTACGGATTGGTCAGGGATGTTGTCAGTTATCAGAAAGCCATTATCCACGCAGTGGGTAGGCGGGGTTTAGAATAACGACTTTCTGGTGTTATCAGTGCCTTTGTGGTTACAGTCTACAGCAGAACTCTTGGCGAAGGTCTCTGTGATTCTCAAGGTTTGGAGAGCTCCCTCGCATAAATGATAGACCAGAGCAATTTTTGATGATCTTCCAGTGAATGAAAGGTAAAAAGCCCCTTGAAAGAGTGCAAAATGTTTCCTTTAGAACTAGGAAGGTGGGTCAGACATACGGCTTCTAAAGTTGAGCCTGATTTTGAGGTAATTTTTTTTTTTTTTATTCTAGCTTTGTACTAAATGTCATCAAATGTCTAATAGGGGTATGTTAGAAGTCATAGCCTTATCAGTGATGTGAAGAAGACGAAACTTGTTAGAATCAGTTAAACGTGTCTTGTGAAGGAAAGTTCGTAGCCAAGACTCTGGCCCCGGAAGACCCTCACAGCAGTATCTTGGAACAGCCCAAAGAAACTTGGGTAGCTTGGGGAACTGGAGAGAGAGCATCTGCAGGGAAGAGTTTTCAGCAGACCCAAATGGGAGAACCTGATTTTGGATTGCCCCATCCCCTAAACTTTTCCTTTGGGGATGTGGGAATGGAAGGGCCTCTGGGGCTTCCTAGCTAGCTAGTTGTCTAGCCTGATCAGTAAATTCGAAGTCAGTGAGTCACCCTCAGAATGGTAGGAAAGAACACACAGGGACCTCCCTGAACCCCACTCATGCCCCTCCTTTTGATTCTGACCCCGCCCCATTTCCAGGACCTCCTTCTTCCTCCTTTTGCTCACTGTTTGTTGTGCCCTCACTCTCCTTACCCCTCCACCTCAACCCTTTTCCTCTCTCCTCTTCCTTTGTTCCCTTTACTTTATCTCCTGCATACCTACACACTCTCCTTACCTAATATTCTTCCTCCACCCCTTCTCTCTTCACATTCCCTCTCACCTCCCATCTTTGCTGCATACTTAGTCACTCTCCTCCCTCTCCCTGCCCCTCCCTCTTTCATCCCCTCCTTCTTCTTACCTACTCCCTTATCTCTCTGCTACTCTATCCTTTCTCTCCCTCCCTTACTATTCCTCCCAATCCCCTTTACTTCAATCCTCCTCCCCATCCACCTTCTTCCAACCCCTATCTCATCCTCCACTTCCCTCACTCTTATTCCCAAAACCCTCCTCCCTGTCCCTCCTTTATCCCTACCTCCCTAACCTTTTCCTCATCTTCTTACTCCCTGTTCCTCCTCCCTCAGTCTCCCTCCTCCATTCCCTTCTTTCACCCTCCTCCTTATGACTCTCTTCCTTGCTCATGCCCCAATCCCTGAGCTCCCTCACCTTCATCCTTTACCTTCTTCCCCATCTCTTTTCTCACATTCCTCCCTCAACCCCCTCCTCTCTCAATTGTAATCCCCTCTCACTCTCCTCAATCTTCCTCCCCTACTCTCTTTACTCCTCCCCATCTCTTATATTCTTCCCTCAGTCCCCCTCATCCTTAATCCCTTCCCCCTCCCTTCCTCCCTAAGTCTCCATCCTCCCTAAATCTCTCTCTTCCTCACCCTCTTTTTTAAGTCTTCCTCCTCCCTTAGTCTCCTTTCTCCCTCACCCTCACCCTCATCCCTCAATCCCCCTCCCTTCTCCTCCTCCCTAATCTCCCTCCTCCCCAATCTCCCCTCTCACTTCCCTCCCCTTTTCTTTTCTCCCAAACTCCCTCCTCCCTATCTCCCCACTAACACTCCATCATCAATCCCCTACTCCCTTTTCTCTTCAAACCCTCTACTTCTTAATTCCTTCCTCCCTTCCCTCTTCAATCTCCTTCCTCTCCCATCTCCTTTCTCCTTCACATTCCTCTATCAATCTCTGTCCTCAAACTTCTCCTTTTCCCTCAATCCCCCTCTTCCATCACCATCCCTTTAATTTTCTTCATTCCTCAATCTCCCTTCTCTCTCAACCCCCTCCTCTCTCAATCTCCCTCTTTTCCCTCCTTCCTTAATTACCCTCCTCTTTATCTTCCTCCCTCATGCTTCTCCATCAATCTGTCTCCTTAATCTTCTTCCTCCCTTACTCTAGTCCATTCTCCTGTGGGCTCTCCCATTTTTTGTTTGTTTTCTGAGACAGGGTTTCACTGTGTAGTCCTGACTGTCCTGGACTCTCTTTGTAGACCAGGCTGGCCTGGAACTCAGAGAGATCTGCCTGCCTCTGCCTCCCTGAGTACTGGGATCACAGGCCTGCACCACTGTGCCCAGTCCCCTGCTCTCTTATCCTTTCTCATCTCCCTCCTACCTCACCTTCCTTCCATTCTACTCCTACTGCCCTTTTCCCATCCTTCTTCCTCAATTTCTCTCTTTACTTATTGTCTTCTTCTTAATCCTCCTTCCTATTCCCCTCCCCATTCCTCTTTCCTCCCCATCCGTCATTCCCCTCCCTTTCCCTTCTCTCCATTTTCTCTCCATTCCCTCTATTTCCCTCCTCCCTCTTTGTCCTCTCTCCTCTCACCCTCCTTTGTATCACCTTTTTATATCTCCTACTCTCCTCATTCCCCCTGCTCCTGATCCCTTCTCTTCCCTTCTCATCTTCCCTCCCTCTCCTGTATCCAACTCTTCCCTATTCCTCCCTCTTCCTTTTCCATTCTCTTTCCCTTACCCTCCTAGCATAAGTTTTCTTCCCCCTCCCCCATTCCTCTTTTTCCTTTCCAGCTATCTCCCTATCCTCTTATTGTCCTCCCTCACCTACTTCCCTCCTTCCTTTCTCCCAGTCTTCTTCCTTTTTTCCCTCCTCCCTTCCCTTCCTTAGTCTCCTCTCTCCCAAACCCTCTTCTTTCTTACTCTCCTGTCTTCTGTCTACCCTCTCCCCCCTGTTCCCCCCCCCCCGCCGGGTTTCTTCCCTGGCCTCCCCAGGAGCCCCCTACCTTCCCTACTTCTCACTGGATCCTCCTTTCCCTCCTTCACCCCCCAACTAGTCTCTCACAAGTAAACATAATGACCAGACTGTCAGGTATGAAGACCCTACAGCTGTAGATGAATGATTTGAGGGGTGTTATTATATTTTTTAAGTTAGTTTATTTATTTTTCGTGTACCAGTCAGTAGGTGCTCAAGGCATTGTAATTTAAAACAGCATGCTAGAGTTGAAATTTCCAATTTCAGATATTTAAAAATAAAACATGAGCCGGATGTGGTTGGTCAGGCCTTTAATCACACCACTCTTATGTGGGAGGCTGGGGGAGGCAGAGGCAGGCAGAGCTCTGTGAGTTCCAGGCCAGCCTGATCTGCAGAGTGAGTTCCAGGACAGCCCAGGCTGTTACACAGAGAAACCCTGTCTCAAAAACAAAACAAAACAAAAGCAGGTACATGCCTTTAATCCCAGCACTCAAGGAGGCAGAAGTAGGTGGATCTCTGAGTTCTAGAACAGTCAAGGCTATACAGAAACACAGTGTTGGAAAAAAAGCTTTACTCTTCAAATAGCTTTAAATGGACAAGGAAAAATTAAATATATGAACTGTAATGTAGGAGGTCCAGAGCATCATCCTTATCATTTAAGAAAAGGCAATATAATGGAAGGCGATAAAGGGGAGAATGTGTTTAGCCTACCCAAAATTTGAGGATTTTCTTAAAACTGCCTTACAAGTGAATTCTCTGTTTTCTCACAGCCCTCAAAGAGAGGATGTCTCATTCAACCAGCTCTAGAGAAAGACGAGAGAATGACACCAACTCGGAAGATAACAGTAAGTAAACTAGTAAAACCTAGTTACAGCCTGATGATTATTACTCATGTCTCTAAACAGTGATTAAGATACCAAAAGAGCAAGGCTGGAATGGATTTCCCCAGAGGGACCTGAGATCATGGGTGGGGGGCCAGTCAAGGGCACACTTCTGCTCGTTTCTTTCTTTTTTTATTAAATAATTTACTTTTTTATTTTATGTGCATTGGTGTGAGGATTTCAAATCCCTTAGAATTAGAGTTACAAACAATTGTGAGCTGCCATGTGGGTGCTGGGAATTGAACCCTGGTCCTTTGAAAGAGCAGACAGTACTCTTAACCACTGACCATCTCTTCAGCCCCTGCTCTTGTTTCTTATACTGAGAAGTAACTCATGTAATATTTTGGAACTTTAAATTTTAATGAAATTTTGCCTGGGTAAGGGTGTGGGCCAATCAGCAGTCATCAGAAGATGGAGGCATACACTAATATATTTCTGAAGGGTTATGATAATCTCTCACAAATTCTAATATACTTTTCACTTGACCAGACTTGACTATAAATATATCTTGTGTAATATTCATTATAGACTGTTTTTGTTGTAAAATGTTAAAAATAATGTGTACTTAGATAAGTTTTGCTCTTCTCCAGGTTAAATACAATATAAAGTGTTTGTTTTGAGAACAGGGGCTTTCTTTATATCTCAGGGTGGCCCTCATACTCACTGTCCTCCTACCTTTGCTTCTCAAATATTGTGTCTGCACTCCCTCTAAAAGTTTTAGGTGTATATTATGGAAATATACAACTCTTAAATGCTTCATTCCTAATACAAAAAGATTCCTTAGTATGCTTTAAATCACCTTCTCTTTTGTACTACAACCAAATAGTTTCCAAATCTATTTTTAGCCTTTAGTATATTCAAATGTGAGGATCAGTATTTTCAATCTCAAGTTACCAGATATAATTTAGGCTCTGTGTGCCATATGGTCTCTGTCACAACTCTGAACTCTGTTTTAGCACAAATGCAGCCACAGAGAATATGCAAAGGAATGAGTATGGCCATGATCCAGTACAATTTTATTTACACAGACAGGCAGAGAGCTGGAGGTGGCCCATTGGTCATAGTTTCCCAAACGCTGGTTTTGTTCATCTGAATTCCTGATATATTACTAACACAGCATTCTGGTTTTATCAGGTCCACCTTTGCTCCTATTTTTGATGTTCTATAATCTCCCTCTTTTTTCTCAGCCTGATTCCTAAACCACTGTGACTCAAGTAAGGCCACAGCTTGAGCAGCAAGGAGCATTTATGACTAAGAGTTAGTGCTAACAGGCCCAGGAATTGCTTAGCAAATTGGTGACTGATATCTTGCTTTGCTTCCTCTCTTTAGCTCTTCAGAATCTAGTTAGGATGGAAAGCTATGTCGTAGTAACACATCTTTTCCTAATATTTTGGCCTTGCTGTATTCTGTCTTTTGCAGGATTTAAATGTGTCTCCTATATTCTTCCTTGCTGCTTTCAGCTCCCTTTCATTCCTGCCTATCCAGCTCCAAGGCTTTCATTTGAATTTCTTTCTCAGAAAGTGATTCTTTGACTCCTTTCTCCACTTCATCTCACCAGTCTCCTTGTCTGTCTTGGATATGGCTAGGTGTCTCTGGCACAGTACCTTTCATTACTGCCTGCGAGTAATTGGTTCCCTCACCCACTAGGCCAACCGAGAACAGTTTGAGAGCAAGGGTTGTTTTTTGTGTACTCTGTGACTATATCCTAATGGGCTCAGGAAAGATTTGTTTGTTCAGTATTTACCTAAATTTTGCTAGGAGGAGGAAGAGCTGGAGCTGGTTTTTACCTCCCTTTGGTTGAAGGTCTAGCTAGGGAACAAACTGATTCTCTAGAACTAAACACCATTCTTGGCTGATATGTATATTTCTTGTTATATTTCTTCTTCACAGGCACCTGAACTGCGTGCAAGCTTGGTCTTCATATTAGTTACTGTTCTCATTGCTGTGACTGCTCTCTCTCTTTCTCTCTCTCTCTCACACACACACCAAAACCGACAAAAAAGCAGCAGCACGGTTCAGTATGAGGTACAGTCTGTCATTGCAAAGCATTTCTTTTGTGGTACTAGGGATGAAACCTAGGGCTTCATACATGCTAAGGCAAGTGCCCCACCAACCTACGATTAAAAAAAAAAAAAAAAAACTAAACTAAAAACAGAACAAACCTTCCCAGGTGATTCTATTGTGAAGTCAGAGGGAACAGCTGATTTAAACTTAAACTGCTGGCCTTGCTTGTGAGACAAAAACCCTGAACCCAGTATAAGAGCAAACATTAAAGCAGGGCATGGGGAATTGTGAGATTCATTGAGGAAGTGACAAGAAGTATAAATGGGGCCCAGCAACTCCATAGTAAATGAGTGCTTGGCATCATCATTGGGAGAATTAACCTGTGGCTGTTCCACAAATCCTCAGGGAGAATGGCCTGGTCTTTTCATTTCATTAGTCTGCCTTTCCAACGTTCCACAGCCATGACTGATGAAGTTGAGAGTCTAAAGGTTCAAATGTTTTAGGTGCTCAGTCCTCGGTTTTATTAGTTTTATGTATTACACTTATCTTCTAAAGGATTTCACTTAAATATTATTATTAATTGGTTTTTTGAGACAGGGTTTCTCCATGTAATAGCCTTGGCTGTCCTGGACTCACTTTGTACACTGGGCTGGCCTTGAACTCACAGAGATCTGCCTGCCTCTGCCTCCTGAGTGCTAGGACTAAAGGTGTGTGTCACCATGACCCACTTTCTATTTTTATGGTTGTTTCATTTTAGGACATAGCCCAAGCTGACTTGGAATTTGCTATATTGCTGAGGCTGACTGTGGACTCCCTAGTCCTTTTGTCTCTGGTTTTCAAATGCTGGAGCTACCAGTGTTAATTTGCCTTGACACCTATGTCTTTTGAGATAGAGGCCTATATAGCCTAGACTGGCCTCAGTTGCAGGTGTGTGTGTGTGTGTGATCTACAAAGTGAGTCCAGGACAGCCAAGGCTACACAGAGAAACCCTGTCTCAAATAAACCAAACAACAACAACAAAAAGCATGGTAATTATGTCAGGGTTGAACTGGCACAAAATTAGATAATGTCAAAAGAAAGAAAATTATTAGTCATTTAAGGAAAAATTTATTTTTTTTCTATAAAACTCAGGGGTATTTCTTGGAGAATTTCCTCAGGTACAGATATGTCATTCAGCATGTAAGCTCTTCGGAAGCCTGAGGCAGGAGAACTGAAATACAGTTTACCTGAGCAACCAAAGGAATGTCCAGTCCGGCCTGAGAGACTTAACCAGACCCTGTGGCCATGATTGTTGGGGGTGGGGCTCATGAGATTCCTCTCTTTCCTGAGGTCCTGCTGGGAGTTTATGGTTGCTGGGGAAAGAGTGACAGCAAACACTGTGGATATAGTGCAACACTAATCCTTTCCCCCAGTCACCTTTCAGGCCTACTGTTTTTCTTCTTTCATGGTTGTTTTTCTCCTTTCATGCTTGTTTTCTTCTTTCATGGCTCTGGAACCTAAATTCCATTAGAGTTTTTCAGCATGATGTCAACAACTAGCACAAAGGTGCTGAACAGTTTTTGTTTTTTAATGAGACAGGGTCTCTTTGGCCTATTCTGGCCTTAACTCAAGGCAGTCCTCCTGCCTCAGCTTCTCAAGTGCTGGGATTACAAGTGTGTGCCAACTTGCCCAGTTTAAAATGGCAGTTTTCCAGGAGAATTTGCGTGTGAAGGGCTTTTCAGGACACAAAGGAGTGTGGGCTTCCTTATTAGAAATGTGATTTATTTGTAATATTCTTATTTACCAAACAAAACTGCTTTTATTCTATCCACAAGCCTGTCAATTCTCTGTGGATAAAGCCTGTCTTGCTTAGCCTTGCTGTCTATCATTTTCTACATGGTAGACTTCAAAGTTTGGTGTACCAGAGTTTTTTGTTTTGTTTTTTTTTTTTTTTTTTTTGGAAAGGGTCTTGTTATGTAGCCTAGGCTTTCCTTGAACTCAAACTGGCAATCTTGTCTCTCCTTCCAAAATTCTGGGATTACAAGCATGTAGAACCACACTGAAGTTCCAGGCACTTTTGAAGCTTCATTTACCATACTTCCAACCTGCCGTCCTATTTTCTAATCTCATTCCACTTTACATGATTTGATAAACAAAAACCCTTCACTGCCGAGAAATATACTTTCTCTCCCCTCACCCCTTTCTCAACTCCCATTTTAAGACCCAGCTAAATATTGTGTTTATCTTGTCCTGACTATTCCTCATTTGTGCATTTTCCCCACAGTAACTTTCTAGACTTAAGAAAAAAAACAACAATCTTAGGAAATTTTGTTTTGAGGCTTTTTTCCTTCACTGGCTTTTCAGAGGTAGGTATCCTGGGTGGTATCTGGCACGTGAAACCTATCCGAGCAAGCTGTTTATACCATACAATCTGTTTACTGTTTCTACAGTTACAGTGAGCACTGCAGGCAATTGTAGTTTTTGAGTTTGTCTTTCCTGCTGAGAATACTTTAACTCTTTTGTTGTTTTTGAGTCTGTGCAGCCCATCCTGTTAACAAAATAGCTCTACTCCAGCCTCACCCTCCAGACTGTTGGAATGACAGGTATTTGCCAGTCCTCTGGCTAAAATGTTCCCCCAGATTAAGTAAAAAGCTATGAGAGGCTTTCCAGGGTTTATTGCTGGTAATGTAACCAAATTTCGAGGTGTTTGTTTTGTTTTGTTGCTTACTAATAATCACATGTAAAACCTGATCTCAAGGAACACACTGGTAAGGAAACAGGCTTTTGCTAATACTGTCTGTAAACTGAGTTGATAAATGAAGGAAGTTGGTCTTTGCTTTGTTTGATTTACAAATTACTGATAGGGTGGGAGGAGGGGTGGACCCTGAAATTGTGCTGGGTAGGGCTCTTTCTTGGTCTTCAAATGTAACCCTGGTCTTGCCAGTTATCTTAGAAAATGCTCTTGGTAGAAAGGTAACAGGGTTCACAGCTTCTTAGTAAGACAGTCAAAATGCGGGCCCTGTGGGATGTTGTGTCACTGACAAAAATGAGAAATTGTGTTGCTGCACCTAGGTAAAAGTTTGCTCCTCGCTAAGCTTTCTCCAGTCCCTGAACATAGTGATAATCCTCTCTAGCAGCAGGCAGGCTTAGGTTTTCCTCTTATTTGGGCTCCTCCCGTGTGAATTTCTCCTTAGTGCTTTAATCTCAAAAGTTTCCCTTCTCCATACTCTTTTCTTTCTACCCTCTTCTTTTCCCCTATAGCTTACCCCGCCCCTAGCCCGCACCACCTACCCTGCCTCACCGGAGGCTTCTCGCTTCTTCTCCTGCCCCCACCCAACCCTATTTGCCCGCCCTCCGCAGGTTCAGAAACGACCAATCAAGAGCGCCGAAGGTGTCACCAAGGACTGTCCCGCCCTCCCTTTCCACCTCTTTTACCCCCCGTGTTCCCTCCCCTAACCCCCCCACATCAAGTCCTGCGGACCCGGGGGCTTCAGGATCTGGGAGCTATGAAAAGTGTCTGCCCAGGCACTTCCGGTAAGAGCGTTGTGGCGCGAAGCTCCCCGCGGGACCGTCGAGGAAGGGGTGGCTGCCGGTGGGTGAGCCTGGTGAAGAGGGTGCCGGCAGGGAAGGGGTGCGGGAACGGGAGTCCGAGCTAGCTGCCCAGAGCAAGCATACCCGGCGCTTCAAGCCGCCCCGCGGTGAGTTGGCGCCCCCGCCTCCCAGGCCGCTCGTGTCCTCCTCTCCACCCCCACTCCACGAGGATGACGCCGCCTCTCCACGGGTGCCTCGTGACCGGAAGTGGCGCCATCTTTAGCCTCTTGTGCTATTGACAAAAACAAGCCTTGGCTCGCTCCCCCTCCCCCCTCCAGCCCCGCGGCTCCCCTCCCTGGGAGAGGGAGAAAAGGAGGAGGAGCTGAGCGCTTCTCTGGCTCACTGAGTCGATCCTGCAGAAAGTGGGGGAGAGAGGCCGGAAAGCAGGGGAGTGGGGACGGCAGGGTCCTTTACCTGTCTGCCTCCTTCGCTCCCCCCACCTTGTTCTGCTTACTGCCTGTGTCAGCCTACCCGCCTTCCCAAGCCCTCTCATTTCCCTCGGTGTGCTCCCCCCACTTTCCTCTTGTTCTCTGTGTTTCTCCTCTCTTTCTTTCCTTCCCCCTTCAGTATTGGCACCTCTCCTACATGCACGCAGACAAATAAACGCAGGTTTTTGATGCTCCTCTGCCAGTTGACCCCGCTATTTTCATGTTTCCAACAGGTTTTTCTTCCCCCAATCCCTCTGCTGCTTCTGCTGCTGCTCAGGAGGTCAGATCTGCCACTGATGGTAATACCAGCACCACTCCGCCCACCTCTGCCAAGAAGAGAAAGTTAAACAGTAGCAGCAGCAGTAGCAGCAGTAACAGTAGTAACGAGAGAGAAGACTTTGATTCCACCTCTTCCTCTTCCACCCCTCCACAACCCAGAGATTCGGCGGCCCCTTCAACCTCGTCCTTCTGCCTCGGGGTTCCAGTGGCCACTTCCAGCTACGTACCGATACAGAAGAAGCTGCGTTTTGACGACACCCTGGAGTTTGTAGGGTTTGATACAAAAATGGCTGAGGAATCTTCCTCCTCATCTTGCTCATCTTCGCCAACTGCTGCAACCTCACAGCAGCAGCAGCAGCAACTTAAAAATAAGAGTATATTAATTTCTTCTGTGGCTTCAGTGCACCATGCAAATGGCCTGGCTAAATCTTCTACCCCGGTCTCTAGCTTTGCTAACAGCAAGCCTGGCTCAGCTAAGAAGTTAGTCATCAAGAACTTTAAAGGTAACCAAGGCCAAAATCCATAATCATGTACTAAGATTTTGACACTTCAGCAGTCAGTTGTGCTATTTATGTTAATATAGCAAACGGTAAGAGGTCCCCTAATGTTTTATGCACAATCAGTGAGTGGATGGGAGGTCCTAGTTTTGATGGAGGTTTTTTTTTTTTCCTCCTGGGGTGTTTGTGTCCTTGCTCTGAAGCACACTCTTAAGTGTTTGTGTGCAATGTTGTTGAGGTCTGTCTCAATCCATGTTTAATCTGTTCCTTACAACATTGACAGTCTGATTGATCCGGATTTTAGAGCTGAGAAACTTGTCTTCTAAAGAGGTACATTTCAGATGCATACTGAGTCTTGGCACTACTGAGATTTTTATTTTGTATAGGCCACACTCCAGGCCCTAAAAATGCAGATAGCAAAGGTGATAGTTTTCATGTTTAAATGAGATATATGTTCAGGTGCTTAGTGTAAGTACTGTATTTGTGAAACCAGCAGTATTGAGTGAAAAATTCCTGGGTTTCTGCATTTCTTCCCAAAGGTAAAGTCTGAAAATGAAAACTACTGTATATTCACAAAAGTAGTGACTCTGTCACTAAAGATAGAAACAGTTAACTACATCTTTACTCACAAAATGGACTTTAAAGTATTGACCTGCAGCTATTGGAAAATTTGTGCATACTGTTGTGTTTGAGATTACTGATTGGGAGTGTGGTGTATGCATCAGTGAAAATAATAACTCAGCATTGGAATTTTTTTTTTACCTGAGTTCTTATTTGTTGAACGTATTTCTGTTCTGATTTTTTTGCCCCCACCATCCTCGGCTAGCAGGTGGTAGAATGTTTTTTAAAGATAGGGAAGTGAATGAATGAACTTAAGGCAAGCTTACCAGATAAGTGCCTTGTATCTAATTATTAGCATAGGGAGACTTGGTTCCTCTGTGCTTGTATTGGAAATGCTGGTGTGGAAAAGAGCACTGTGTTTGCTATTTGTCTCAAGCAGGGGATTTTAGTATTGTACAAAAAAACAAACAAACAAAAAAAACCACCTTTTCTTTTTTATGGAACTCACTTTCCATCCTCAGGCTCTCAACAGTGTTGTACTCTGATTTATTAGAGCTTTCTAAAGTGAATATGAACTGTATTTACAGATTCATTAGTTCATTTAAAGATAACTGATTTAATAGGGAAGGACTTTTCAAGAAATGAGCTGTGATCCTAATTGCATTTGCAAATTGATTTTAGAGACTTTATTTTCTTTTCTCCTGAAGGCATTAGGGCATTTGGAATGTTTAACTTGTTTAACTTTTTAATGGTGAATGAAGTTTAAAATCTAGATTAAGATTTCTTTCCATTTTTGAAAATGCTGCATGGGTTCTGGTGTCATTTGGGCGTTAATTTGTTTTTGTTTTGTTTTTTAAATTAAATTCTGTTCTTTTAAAACTTAAGAAAGGTTCTCCATTTCTGTGATTGCTGAGGGAGTCAAACACACTTGAATTGGAATCCAAGCTTTGCCATTGACAGCTATGGTGACCTTGGGGAATCTTCCCAAATGAGTTCCAGGCTGTTTCTTTAGTTGTAAAATAGGGGTGTTAATATTCATTGTGGTTATTTTAATTGTTGGGACGATTTCTTAGAAGTTTCTAAAGTACTTTTCACATAGTACATAGTCAGTATTTTAAATCTTCTGTATGAGATTCATGTCAATTTCAGTTTTACACATGATAAAACAAGATCAGGACTCCTATTTTTATCTGTCATTCTTGAATTTTTATTTTTGAGGCAATGCAGTCAATAGGTGGAAAAAAAAATCCTTACCTTCAATTTTCATAGGTGGCCTCTTAAATTCTGTTTATAGAGCCAGGTGCAGTGGCACACACCTATAATCCCAGCAGAGGCAGGGGTATCCCTTTGAGTTCAAGGCCAGCCTGGTCTACAGAGTGAGGTGAGGATAGCCAAAGCTACACAGAGAAACCCTGTCTTGAAAAAAAATCTCAAATAAAACCAAACAAAAAATTCTGTTTATACCAAATTTTAATATACCATAGTTACTTTAATTTGAGATATTAAAAAGATCCTAAAACAGCAATGCTGTTGTATTTTGTGTTTTTTAGTTACTGTATCCTGAATATTTTTCTAATTTTTTTGCATATTATTTAGATAAGCCTAAATTACCAGAAAACTATACAGATGAGACATGGCAAAAACTAAAAGAAGCAGTGGAAGCTATTCAGAATAGTACTTCAATTAAGTACAATTTAGAAGAACTCTACCAGGTATGTATTAGTCTGTCAACCAGATTTAACTAATATAAGTCGAGATGGGGTGCATTTGTATTTTCCTTTCCTTGAAGATTTATTTTTTATTTTTCAGTCTGTGTGTATGCTTGGGAGCTTGCACACACAATTGAGTGCAGGTGCCCTTGGAAGCTAGAGGCTTAGGATCCCTTTGGAATCATAGGTGGTTGTGAGCTGTCTGACATGGTGCTGGGACTCAAACTTGGGTCATACAGTAGTGCGTTTAACTGCTAGTCCATTTCTCCAGCCCCTTGCATTTTAAATTTCTGAAACCTGTTCTTCAGTAGACTTTTTGGATACTTACTAGTTAATTGGTGCATTCTGTTTTCTGATCATCGCAAATCTTCCTTGAACTGGGGCCACAGAATTGAACAGTTCTGATAAGGACTTAACGGTACAACCTAGTGTCGAATGCTATAGCACAGATCCTAGAAATGTTTTCTGTAGGATATCATTTCTGTTGTGGCAGTTCTTGCTTAGTTCTGTTACCCACTGACAGGAAAGAAAGTGCTCACGGCATGCAACTCTTCACATTCTCGCATCCCTTTTCTGCATTATTCTTTTTTTAATTACATTCATTTGTTCTTTATGTATATGTGTATGGGTAAGCCATGTATGGAGATCATAGGACAATTTACAGGGGTCACTTCTTTCCTTCTACCTTGTGGGTCCCAGGGATTGACCACAAGTCATTAGGCTTGACGGTAAGTGCCTTTACCTGCTGAGCCATCTTGCTACCATCTTCCTCCTTTAAAGAACTCGATTTAAAAAAATTGTGTGTGTGGTTATGACAGAGAGAGGGGAGAAAGGGTGTGTGTGTCCATGTGAGTGCGCAAAGAAGCGTGTTAGTTCCCAGTAAACATGTGGAAGTCAGAAGACAACTTGGAGAAATTCGCCTCTTCTTCCACATGTGTTCCAAGGAGCATACTCCAGTTTATTTTGTTTGGTGGAAAGCACATTTACCCAGTGAGCCATCTTGTTGGCCCTGTCTCAGTTTTTTAAAATTTTATTTTATGTGTATGGTATTTTGCCTGCATGCATATATATATGTGCATGCCTGGTGACGTGGAACTGGAGTGATAGAAAGGTGTGAGCTGCCATGTAAGTTATGGAAATTGAACTTGGGTCCTTTAGAGGAACATGTTGGCAGTGCTCTTAACTGCTGAGCCATTTTTCCAGCCCTCTCTGCCTCAACTCAATCTTTTTTTTTTTGAGACAGAATTTCTCTGTGTAGCTTGGCTATCCTGGACTCATCAGGTTGGCTTCAAACTCACAGGAGATCCACCTGCTCTGCTTTCTGGGGCTCTGGGATCATAGACGTGTGCCACTGCAACTGGCAGCTGCCTCATTTTCAGTGGTAGCTTTTTGCACTTTTTTTTTTGAGCTTTTTCCAAAGTATACCTGGTCTACAAAGTATACCTTACTCCAGAAGTGAGCAGTGCCTGTAGTCTATCACCTTAGTCCAAGGTTCATGTTTTTTTTTTTTTTTTTTTCTGATTGAAAACCAGTGTTTACTTGAAATATTCAGGATAATGCCAAGAGCAGTTACTCATTCAGATTTACTGTTACCAAGAGTTTTTCTCATTGGTTTTAACAGAACTAATTCAAATTATTTTCCCTTTCATAATCAGCCATTTGATATTTAAAATATTTCTGATTACATAGACTGTTTTAGGGTTTTTGTATTTAGTAAAACTTGTAAGAAATTAGCTGGAGAGATGGCTCGGCTGTTAAAGACTAGGCTCACAACAAAAAAAAATGTAAGAGATAATGTTGGTTCAATATCTCAGCATTTGTAGTTTTTGCACTTTAGTTGTAGAGTGAATATGTTGATGACCAAACTCTGAATTAGGAGTTAGAAGACACATTTGGGATTTAATTTTGACTACTACTGCCCTTCTAATGTTGGGCAAAACAATAAACATGCTCCACTTTAGTTTCCTCATTAGAAAAGAGGGAAACTAGTATCTGCCCTTTTTTTCTTCTCTAGCTTGCTAAAAAAAAGAATCAAAATAAGATGTTTGTAAAACAAAATTAAAAAAAAACACTATAATGAAGCACTAATGATAAAAATTAAGCTGATGGTAGAGTAGCATTAGTCACATCCTTTACAATCCATAGTATAGCTTTTTAAAAACCTGCTATTTATTATTTTTGTTCCTAAATTTTATTAATTAACACAGAACATTCCCAACCAATGTATTCTTTTGTATTTATAAAAAATTTATTTTTTTATTAATTACAGTTTATTTACTTTGTATTCCAGCTGTAGCTTGCTTTCTCATCCCCTCTTAATCACATTCTCCCTCCCTGATCTCCTCCCCTGACTCTCCCCAGATTCACTAATAGGGGAAGTCCTCCTCCCCTTCCCTCTGACCCTAGCCTGTCAGGTCTCATCAGGACTGCCTGCATTGTCCTCCTCTGTGGCCTGGTAAGGCTGCTCTCCTATCAGGGGGAGGTGATAAAAGAGCCTGCCACTGAGTTCATGTCTGAGACATTCCCTGTTCCATTGCTAGGGAACCCACTTGGAGGCTAAGCTGCCATGGGCTACATCTGTTCAGGGGTTCTAGGTTATCTCCATGCATAGTCCTTAGTTGGAGTATCAGTCTCAGAAAAGACCCCTGTGCCCAGATTTTTTTTGTTGTTGCTCTCCTTCTGGAGCTCCTATCCCTTCCAGGTCTTTCTATCTCACCCTTCTTTCAAAAGATTCCCAGCATTCAGCCCAAAGTTTAGATATGAGTCTCAGCACCTGCCTTGATACCCTGCTGAGTAGAGTCTTTCAGAGGCCCTCTGTGGTAGGCTTCTGTCCTGTTCCCTGTTTTCTCCCTCTGCTGACGTCCATCTCATTTGACTTTCTGAGTGAGGATTGAGCATCTTACCCAGGGTCCTTCTTGCCTAGCTTCTTTAGTTGTACAGATTTTAGTATGTTTATCCTATATTGTACATCTAATATCCACTTATAAGTGAGCATATACCATGTGTGTCTTTCTGCTTCTAGGATACCTAACTCAAAATCTTTTCTAGTTCCCATTTATCTGCAAATTTCATGATTTCCTTGTTTTAAATTGCTGAGTAGTATTCCATTGTGTAAATGTACCACAATTTCTGTATCCATTCCTCCGTTGATGGACATCTGGGTTGTTTCCAGGTTCTGGCAATTACGAATAAAAGCGGCTGTGAACATGTTTGAGCAAATGTCCTTGTTGTATACTTGAGCATATTTTGGATATATGCCTAGGAGTGGTATGGCTACATCTTGAGATATCACTACTCCTAATTTTCTGAGAAAGAGTCAGATTGATTTCCAAAGTGGTTGTGCAAGTTTACGTTCCCCCCAGCAATGGAGGAGGGTTCCCCTCTCTCCACATACTCTCCAGCATGTGTTGTCACTTGAGTGATCATAGCCATTCAGCTGTAAGGTGAAACCTCAGGGTCATTTTGATTTGCATTTTCCCTGATGACCAAGGAAGTTGAGCATTTCTTTAAGCGTTTCTCTGCCTTTTGATATTCCTCTATTGAGAATTCTCTGTTTACCCCATTTTTAAATTGGATTTCTTGCTTTTTATCTTCTTTAGTTCTTTACATATTCTGCATATTAGGCCTCTCTGTCAGATATAGGGTTGGTAATGATCCTTTCCCAATCTGTAGGCATTTTGTTTTGACAACCATGTCCTTTGCTTTACAGAAGATTTTCAATTTCATGAGGTCCCATTTATTGATTGTTGCTCTTAGAGCCTGTGCTGTTGGTGTTCTGTTCAGGAAGTTGTCTCCTGTGCCAATGACTTCAAGGGTATTCCCCACTTTCTTCTAACAGGTTTAGTGTGTCTGGTTTTATGTTGAGGTCTTTGATCTACGTGGACATTAGTTTTCTGCAGGGTGATAAATATGGATCTATTTGCATTTTTCTACATGTAGACATCCAATTAGACCAGCACCATTTGTTGAAGATGCTCTTTTTTCATTGTATGGTTTTGGCATCTTTGTCAAAGATCAGGTGTCCATAAGTGTGTGGGTTTATTTCTGGGTCTTCTATTTGATTTCATTGATCCACCATTCTGTTTCTATGCCAGTACCATGCAGTTTTTATTACTGTTGCTCTATAGTATAGCTTGAGATCAGGGGTGGAGATACCTCCAGAAGATCTTTTATTGTAGAGGGTTGTTTTAGCAATTCTGAGTTTTTCATTTTTCCATATGAAGCTGAGAATTGTTCTTTCAAGATCTGTAAAGAGTTTTAGTATTTTGATGGGAATTGCATTCAATGCAATTTTGGCAGGATGACCATCTTCACTATATTAATCCTACTGATCCATGAGCGTGGGAGATCTTTCCATCTTCTGATATCTTCTTCAGTTTCTTTTTTGAGAGACTTACAGTTTTTTTTTTTTTTAAACAGGTCTTTCATTTGCTTGGTTAGAGTCACACCAAGGTACTTTGTTGTTAGTGGCTATTGTGAAGGGTGCAGTGTCCCTAATTTCTTTCTTAGCCCTTTTGTCTTTTGTAAACAGGAGGGCTACTGATTTTTCTGAGTTAATATTATACCCAGCCATTTGCTGAAGGTGTTTATCAGCTGAAGGAGTTCTCTGGTAGAGTATTTGGGGTTGCTCATGTATACTACCCTATCATCTGCAAATAGTGATACTTTGACTTGGTCTTCTCAGATTTGTATCCACTTGATCTCTTTTAGTTGTCTTATTGCTCTAGCTAGGACTTTTCAGGTACTATGATGAAGAGAGAGAGAGAGAGAGAGAGAGAGAGAGAGAGAGAGAGAGCGAGAGCGCAGCTTTACCTTTCCCTGATTTCAGTGGGATTGATTTAAGTTTCTCTCTATTTAGCTTAATGTTGGATATAGGCTTGCTGTATATTGCCTTTACTAGTTTAGGTATGTGCCTTTTATCCCTGATCTCTCCAAGACTTTAAACATGAATGGATGTTGGATTTTGTCATGCTTTTTTGGCATCTAAGGAGATGATCATGTGG